AAACTGGACTCTCACTACTGTCACATTAGACTATAGGCATGTGATTAAGTAATTTCTCTTAAATTAGACTTCACAAAAGAAACCTCTAACTGACCTGCTTTTCCTTCTGCTCCATGCTGGTTGCACATTAAAACCCATTACTTCAAACCATCCTGACAGGCATTTTTGCTGACAGTCACAGTCCATTCTAGCCAAGAGTTCTGGACACATCCAAATGTGCATGACTTGTTTCTAGTCTGAACCTGCCTGCTATTAACTTCTAACTTGCTTCAAGTCATGGCTTTCCCTGTTATATTAAAAGAAATTGTTGGAAAGTTTCAATTTTGCAAGAGTTACTTAATTTTAAAGACTGCTGGCTTTTGCTGGACCCTGTAAATCTTTGCATATAAATAACCTTGGATTTAAATTCCCAGCACACTGAAAGCCTCTAAAATGGTTCTATATATGGTGAAAACAACCACAGAGTGTTAGGTCTGTCTATACCCAGTTTTCATAAGCCTTAAAGTGCCCATGATATTTAAATTCAAATCTGCAAGTGGATTCTCAGTTATAAAATCGTAATTTAGGGCATGATTCTGCTTTCACTTACACCCATATGGATTTCTGTAACTCTCCTACTTCCAGCAGAATTTGTTACATGTGAAAAGAGGTGTGGAACACACGTGACATGTCAATCTGGTTGCCGATGGCTCCAAGGAGTTTAGAGGTGGAAGGAACTGCTAGATCACTTTGTCTGACCCGCCTGTTATGGAAATCCATTCAGTTATTCTTGTACTGGGCCCAATAAATTTCACTGAACTAAAATGTAACTTCAAAAAAAGTATCCAGAGAATTTCAAAACATAGGAATCCACCACTCCCCTTCATCATTCAGATAACTGTTTAACGGCTATTAAATGTGCCTTCTGTCTAGCATGAATACATCTACCTTCCAGTTTTAGCTTTTCACTGTTACAGGACAAAGATCCTTATTTTCTCTCATTTTCTTCCTTGAAGACAACTATGCATTGCAAAGAGTCTGCTTCTTGCTTTTCTTTTAGATAAGCCCTACACAATAGCTGATCTGCAGTAAAAGGTTGTGTGTAAATCCTTACCTTAGAGACAATGCAAGATAAGAGCCTTCAGCGCCAGTGGGCTCAGCCACCCCAGCAGCCACTGCTGAGGGACCTGATCTGTCCCTGTCTTCCTGGCAGCATTGCTCCTGAAGAGGCTGCTTCTGCTCTGCAGTGCCTTCAGCACAGGTCACTGTAAGGGTGAGTGAAGCACTGCAAACTCTGCCAGTCCAAGCATGTGTGTATGCTGGGGGTGAGTATTCACATACTTAAGGGGGACAGGAAAGAAGAGAGAGGAAAAATGCACATGGAGCCATTCCCTCAGGATAAAAGTGAGTACTCAATAGTTGCTGAAGAGTGGCCTATATGCTATCAATTCATCCACTAATTTACTCTGCAGTAAGCAATTTATTTAACCATAGTCTATGTTAATCTCCCCCAAAGTATTTAGTGTGACATCTCTCAAACAAACCCATTGCCTCATTAGAAGATTAAGTCAGGTTAGTTCATTACAATCATTCCTTATGGCTGGTGACAATCTATGCCTGTGGACAGTGATAGCCAAGAACTCCCTTCTCCTCACTACTTGTGACTATAAATCACAATCAGGAGCCAGGATTGTTTGATAATGGTAACCATGTAGACATAACATAACATATATATGTAGATGTGATATATTTCTAATGAAACACATCTACATCTGGTTTCTATAGCACTGCGTGGATTGGCACTAATCATATCCTCCTACTTTTAATTCCTTCCTGGTAGGCAAACCTAACTTCCCGACCTACGTTATCCCACTTGCCCTGACAGTGTGATCACACAACATGAGCTATGGCTGAGAAGGAAACAGCTACAGACATGAGAGACTCACCATTCCCATTATGTCATTTTCTAAAGCAAAGTTTTGGTGTGATTTAAGTGCTGCTATTGCTGCACAAAGATTTGTGCCTCATCTACTGTCTCTTGATCCCTGTTCAAACCTAAAAAGAGCACGGGATTAAGTCAGTGGGATACTGTGTATTTCCAGAGTAATGTATATTCATCAGTAGAGGAGACATGCAACTATTAAAAGGTGGAATACAACAAACCAGAAAACAAATAAACGAAAAAGGTATTTCATTTATAACAAATGCTTACTTGAAAAAATTAATCTTTAACATTTAGGTATGAACCAAGCCAAACAAACCCATCCTCCCCCTGAAACCTCATTTTAGAAATTATCCTAGACATGAAGTCCCCTGTTCAGAACACACATATCCCTGAATCAAGACAAGGTCACCAAGTGCCCAAGGAGCACAAACGAGGCTGGCAGCAACAGCTCCCCAAGGTACAGTGTTGAGAGCAGCCATGGATGGATGGACTAAGGACACCTGTGCTAATCCTCTTTTACCTCTGACAGTGCCACAGAAAGTCTGATGCGAGGAAATCACCCCTTAGGACTCACACAGACATCAAGGACTTGGTTGTGTGTACAGCAGTAACAGAGCTTGCTGAGCGAGCCTCATGCCTGGCTAAATGACATTCATCATTCATCAGGAACTGGAGTGATAGGGCAGAGAGCAATGGGTACAAATTGAAAGAAGGGAAATTTAGATTACATATTAGGAAGAAATGTTTCACTGTGAGGGTGGCGAGGCACTGGAACAGGTTGCTCAGAGAAACTGTGGATGCCACAACTGTGTCAGTGTTCAAAGCCAGGCTGGAGGGGCTCTGAGCAAATTGGTTTAGTGGAAGGTGTCCTTGCCATGGTAGGGCAGGTTGGGACTAGATGATCTTTAAGGTCCATTCCTTAAAGAATGAACATTCATTCTGTGAATTCGTGTTATAAGCCTGGTTTACACCAGATAATCAGCTATTAGGGTGGCTCCTGTGGAGAGGGGTATCAAGCAGCCCTCTTGACACCTTTCTGCCCTCTGCCCCTGTTTGCAGCAGACAGTGCCATATGTCCCTCGCCTGGTGACAGAGGTGTGCAGGGCTCTGCATCTAAAAGTTTTGTGACACAGATTTGGAGGTAGATGCAGTATGGGAATGGAGCTGCCATGGGAGGAGGGTCTGAGAGGGAGTAATACCTGAAAGCCCTGATAGACTCTATGCTTGTTAAGTCATGCTGTACTTTTAACGACACTCTAAACCATCAAAAGCCAGGTTGTTGCCAAAGCAGTTGTTTTGCCTTCATCCAGGCCAAATGATTTCTTACTTTATTGCTGCTCCTTCTCCCCAAATAACTAATTTCTAACCTAGGACAGTTCTCCTGACAGAGGAAAAGGGACAGTAAGGAGTGGGGTGAAACAGTTGCTTCCCCTGGAAATGCCAGGTTAAAACTGCCCACAAAACTCTGGCTTAAACTATTATCAGATTTGTTATTTGAGATAGATTGATTGTTCAAGGAGCTCGGCTTCAATGCACATCCTAAAGCCACTCCCCCCGTGGCTGAACACACCTGTAAATGTAACTACTTCCCCGAACTAGGTAGGCAAAAAATCTCCAGCCTAGGAAACTACGGACATTAAACCATTTACGGCACACGAGAAGCCCCCAGAGCGCTCTGGCGTTTTCCCACACCAGAAGGTGACGAGGGGCGATAACTCGGCGAAGACTCATCTCCGGATTTCCCAACGGCGTCTGGATACGGTTCCCTCTGCGGGCTCGACGCCCCGAAGCGGAGCCCTCTGCGGTCCTTGAGCCAACAGCGGGGGAAGGGGAAGGCGATCCCGCCGTCCTCCCCCGCGGGTCCCCGGCGGGTCCCGGCGCCCGCGGCGGCCCCGAGCCCGCGGCTCCGCCGCCCCAACAGCGCCACCCAGCGCCTCAGCCGGGAGCGCCGCCCCGGCAGCGGAGCGGAGCCGCGGAGCGAGGGAAGGCGCCGGCCAGCGGCAACGGGGTGTGCTGTGCGCTGCCATCGACACAATTAACACTGCTGATTTATAACGAAACAAGGCCAAAAAACACCCCCGAGCCAAAGGCAAACCAACCCAAAACTCCGAAACAAAGCACACGCCACAATTTTACAGTTTTTTAAATGGCCTAACATATTTCCCGGCTTGTTTTAACACAAGAGGCATGGGTATGAATATCAGTGGGAGCTCCCTTGGCTATTTACTACAAGAAATCTTCCCGAGAGTGAACGGGTAAAGCAGGATTCAAAACTGTGAAGTTCATCCATTCATAGACCCAATTCCTTTATTAATAAAACCCAGCAGCAGCAAAAACTGTCCCAGCCGAATAGTGGCTGTGGGAGGGACGAATCCCAAGCCCAAGGATGCAGGGTGTGGGGAAGGTGGGGGGCTCCCCTAACTGCGGGGCATGAAGAGGAAACCAGTTGGTGGCAACATATGTGTATTGTATTTCTCCGAAAAAAATTTGCAACTTGGCTAATTAAATTCCTGGCGCTGAACTGGTCCTTGGCTGAGATCATGGCAATTGGGAGGGTTGGGGTTTTTTTTCCTCCTTACAGGAGTTCCCTCCTTCTTCCCATCCTCCGCCTATTAAAGCAAGTCAAACCTCCCTTGTTAAAAGACCCCATAACGTGGAAGAGGCAGAAAAGCAGCAGCAGCAGCAGGAAAGAAAAAGACGTCTGGAAAATATTACTCGTTTGCTGCTGCTGCTGCTGAGAAACCTCATTGAAACAGTTACTCGGGCAGCAAGGTATCACCAAAGAGACTTTATCTGATGCTGATCTCTCAAACTTTCAGACGCTGCCTTGCAACTTCTCCAGGCTCCAGGCTAGCCGGGTTTGAAATAAGATCTTCAGCTTCGACCACGAGAAACTAACTCCTAATTTATTATTTCTAACTTTTTTTAATTATTATTATTATTATTATCATTACTATTATTTGGAGGAAAAAAATCCCACAACTTTGAGCTATTAACTGAAGCAGAGAAAGACAAATACACGATAATTGTGAAAACACGTGGGAGAAAATGAGTAGGACTGAATAGCCTTACACGATTTTTTTTATTATTTTCATTTTTAATTATTTTTTTATTTCTGAGCGTCTTATTAAGTCCCTGAAAAGTGCGATTTGTTCTTTTACCTCAAACTTGGAAGCTATTCAGCGGGAGCAACGGTACGTGAGACCACACAGTTGGCTGGAGCCCCTCTATGACCAAAGGACAGAAGGACAAACAAGGTAGGTGATTTATGATTATGCTTCTGTCAGCTCAAGAGCAGAAGACCCCCTCCTCCCATCCCCAGTATTCCAGGGAGGAGAGCTGGAACAGACCCCCAAAATACGAGTGGGGCTGGGGGAGGATCTTACCGGCTCCTACGCTACACCTATTTCAGCAATGAATAGAACCGCCGTGAGGATGGATGAATGAGGTTTTCAGCTTCAACCCCTCCTCCGTGTAATCCGTTTAAGACATTGCTGAGCGTCAAGATCTGGGAAAAAAAAAAAATCAAACTCAAAAAGCCAAAAAAACCCAAAAAACCAACCGCTTCATAAAACCCTGTGAAATTAGAATAAAATCGAGCACGGGCTGGGCAGCCGCTCCGCAGATGGCAGCGGGGAAGGCGAGCCCTGCTCAGAGCCCAGCCCGGCTTCCCTCCGGCCGCCCCTCGGCTTTGCCGGCAGGGCCGGGCGGGGACGCGGGCGAGGGAGGCTGGGCTGAGGGCGGCGGCGGGCGGCGGCCGCGGGGCTGGCGTCCCGCCCCGGACAGCGCTGCCGAGCCGCCGGGCAGCGCAGCGCCGGGAGGGCCGGGCAGGGCAGGGCGGCTTCCCGCGGGAGGGCCGGGGCCGAGGGCTGCGGGGCGGGGGCTGCCGGAGCTCCCCCCAACCGAGGGAGGCCCGCCCGGGGCCGCGGGGCGAAGGCAGCGCCGGCACGGCCGGGCCCGAAGCTCCCGCGGGCGGGGCCCGTGACGCGGCCGCGCGGGGATCCCCGGCCCCGCCCGGTGACGCCGCCGCTCCGCCCCGCTGGCCGCGGCGCCGGGCCGGGCTTCCCCCGCTCCGTGTGCGGCCGCGGCCGCTGCGGGGCCCTGCGCGCCTCCTGCCCGCCTGCGGAGCCCCGTGACCCCACAGCCCTGCTCGGCACCTCCTGGCGCGGCTCGTGTCTCTCAGCTGGTCACAGCCTCGCCACGCTCCGTAGCGATGCTGGCAGAAGGAGACATTGGCCCGTGGGAGAGAATTTACCCCGTTTCCTTGCCCCAGAGCATCCCATTGTGCTACAACACTCCTGATGGGCGTTGTCTTAATCTAGAGAAGACGGAGAGGGGATCTCATTAATATCTCAAATATATAAGTATCTCAAAGGCGGTGCCAAGAAGATCGGTGCCAGACTCTTTTTGGTGGTGCCCAGTGACAGGACGAGGAGCAATGGCCTTAAACTAAAACACAAAAGTTTCACCTCAACAGGAGGAATAACTTCACGTTGAGGATGGCAGGGCACCAAAGAGGCTGCCCAGCGAGGTCGTGGAGTGTCCCTCTCTGGAGATACTCCAAACCCACCTGGCCACGTTCTTGTGTCACCTGCTCTATGTGACCATACCAGGGCAGGGGGATCGGGCTCCATGATCTTCACAGGTCCCTTCTAACCCTAAGGGGCTCTGTGATTCTGCAGGGCTGCAGTGACCCCACATCTCTTAGGGCACAGCTGCTTCTCCATGGTTGGCTTGGCTTCATAGTCTTCAGCCCGGGGGATCATTTTTCCATTGGCACCCATGCGCTTTTTTGAAAGTACTCCTGTGTAACATAGGTGCCTTGAGGGTTCTTATCAGGACTAGATAAGGGTGATAAATCTTTCTTACCCTGTATCCAAGCGTAGAAAAACCTGGGTCAAAGTTTACCGGTAGGAAGAGCTGCTCCTTTGGATTCAGTGAAGTTTTCCAAGCAAGTTCACTGGGAAAAACTCGAGTCTTCATATTTGTGGCATGAAAGCATATTTGCTCTATTTTTTTTTGCTATTCAAGATTAGATAGAGCAGCAAAATATTCCTAACCAGCAACCAGAAAACATTTCTAAACTAGATTTTTGTTTAACCACAATCCAAAATATCTGAGTAGAAATATGATTTACTTCTTGTTTTGTTTCTTTGAGCATTTGTCTGGTGATATTTTTTTTTGTTGCTTTTCCTTTTCCTTTCTTCTTTTCTGTTAATTTGACAACTAGTGTATTATTGTGTACCAGAGGGTCAAATCCAACCTGCAGCCATAGAACTCATTCCGCATTGGTTACTCAAGCCTGTAAGAGATTAAATTTGAGCAGTTCAGTGCGAAACATACACTGAACAAATATGAGATTTTTGATTTGCTGATCAAAGCCTGTGCATACAGACAGAGTTTGTCATCACCAGTAATCTTGTTGTTTACTTTTAATTTAACCTCAGAGTTAACTTTAGTCTTATGTGAGCCCTTTCCAGAAGATCAATAGCATAACAAAATCTGGAAGTTATGAATAACCAAAAGTTCCAGATATAGTAATTGTGTTGTAATAAAGGTGTACAGATGGAGCATAACTTTTCACTTTCCTCTCTGCAGGCTGTAGAATAGAAGAGGGAGCCTGGACAGCTATCTTATGCTTGTGATTATTATCTACCTAGAATCATTTGTACTGCAATGATATACGATTTAATTTGCCACCAAAATAAGGCTAATAATGAATCTAATTATTGTCTGAGAAATTGTAAGACTCAAACACCATGTATTCCCAGAGAGTGTGTATACAGGCCCAGATCCAATGTGTGCAGGCACTCACACGTGCACTCTGACACACTCGTGTCATTGAAGCAGCTGCTCTGTGGCAGCCAGCGCTATTATTCTCATTAGTAAGGAAGTGGGTAATAAGGCTTATAAAGATTATATTCTTCCTTTGGTTGTGTGCAAAACAGCCCTTGGTGGCTGTATGTACTTAAATCTGTGTTTTGGCTTTTATAGTGCTCACCTCACTGATCTCAGGCATCCTGCTGAGTTAGAGTTGCATGTTTGTTACAGACAAATCCCCACAGACTATACCTTCAAGTGAATATAGGCAAGGAAAATAGCAAGGGGTGTGTTGGTTTTTGTTGGAGTTTTTGACTAAAACCAGTTATATGGAACTAGAGAAAAGGTGGATCTCATATAGCACTAAAAAGAGTAACCTAAGCCTTATGAAGGGTTTTATAGACCTCCAAAAATTTCTTACATGATCATGATTCCCATTACAGGTGATGAAGCTGTGACAGAGAGAGCTGAATTCACTTATCTAAGATCACACAGCATTCATGTTGTTGAAAGACAACACTAGGAAGCAAATTCAAATTGTCAAGGCCCTGATCCACTCTTAGATTCCCTAATGTAAGAAATGCAGTGGTTAAGCATTGACATATCCAACAACCTTCATGAGGGAAGTTAATCGCTACAATAAATTTGTAATAAATATATATGCATTTTTACTTCAAGTGTCCCAGAAATAGCAGCTTTTCAGATAAAGATTTTTTTATGCCTTTACTACAGAATTGCAAGATAAATTATCCACTGATTTCCTTCTTCAGCAAAATATCTAAGTGCACACTTATCTTTAATGACACACTTACCTGCTTTGCTGAATTCAAAGCCTCAGCACTAAGGCTGAATAGATATTCAAGAATTCCATTTCCATACAGGCATATAAAAATGAGATGTTTTCAAAGGTTTTCTGTGCTCAGCACTTCTGGTTTCCGCAAAGGTTCCAGACAAGTCTGATCTGTAGATTTTATATGTGAGGTTGTTGATTTGTATTATCAATTTGTTTTCAATGAGGAGGTGCTATTGAAAGTGCTGCTACAAGTGTCTCCCCTTCAACAAAATTGCTTGAGGTTCTATTGCATAGCAATAACTGGACACCCAAATTGGATTCCTCTTGAATGAAACTAATTGCAAGGTGCACCTCTGGAGGACACTTTTCAGGTTTTCAGTCCACTAGGTCCAACTGTACTAGTTAAGAGTAAAGCACAAAAATATATGGAGGGTGGACTTAGGCCCTTAGCACCAGGTGTTTGTCTTTGCAGATCTCCTCATGTGGTATTGCACTATTTGCTGATGTGACCACAGCCCTTGATGTCTAGAGAGAGGCACAGCTCCTTGTAACCTTTAAAAGGGAAGGGGACTGTAGTGGGTTGACCCTGGCTGGCTGCATGGTGCCTGCCCAGCTGCTCTATTGCTCTCCTCCCCACAGTATGTAGATGCAGAAATTAAGAGGACAAAACACCTGGTATGTTGAGATAAAGGCAACTTAATAAAGCAAAGGCTGTGCATGAAGCAAAGAAAAACAAAAGATTTATCCTCTACTTCTCATCAGCAGATGATGTTCAGCCACTTCCCTGGAAGTAGGGCTTCAGTACTGAAAAACAAATGTCATAACAAATGCTTCTCCCTCCTCTTAGTTTTTTTATCTGAGCAGATGTCATATGGTATGGAGTATCCTTCTGGTCAGTTTGGATCAGCTGTCCTGATTATGTTCCCTCCCAGGACCTTGGCCACCCATAGCATTGGTGTGGGAGAAAATGTTGGGGAGACATCCTGAACACTCTGAGAGCACTGCTCAACAGTAGCCAAAACACTGCTGTGCTAGCAACACCTTCCCAGCTACCAATACAAAGCAGAGCACTTGGAGGGCTATGGGAAAAATAATTCCATCTCAGCCAGGCCCAGTACAGGGACACCATGAGCATATTTGTGATCAAACCTTTATCACTGCCTCCTGGATAGATATTGGCTTTGCAACTTGTGGTTAGGGTTTTTCTAAGTGTCTTCAGATGTTTGGAATTAATAAGTGCTAATTCTTTCAAACAACCTTCCAAATCATTACGTGTTAGGTGCAAACTATCTCTTGCTTTTTAATCTTCTGAGGAAAAGCTACCCAGAATTACTATGTGGCAATGTTTGAGTGTTGCACATGAGAGGGAATTTCTGAGAGATAATATAGTGAGATGCATCCCATGTGTTATAAGCAAATATGACTTCAGTTTGACCCTCATCATTGGTTCCATGTCCTGTATCAATGGATGCCAGGCACCACCTGATTGCTTCCTTTGTCTTCACAGCAGCTGCACAACAGAGGGTGCACAACTGAACAGGCTGCAGATAATATTGGTATCCTCTGGCACCAGTGCACATTGGTTTTCTGGATATCTATTTGCCCCTATTCCATATTACTAACAAAATAAGCTTTTTCTTTCTCTTTGCCTCCTGACTTCGTTAAGGGATGAACTGTCTCCAGGCCCTGTTACTCTCAGAAATGTGTGAAAGCAGATTAATAGCCATGTGGATGAACTTTGCCACAGGATTTTGGAGGAAGAAAAATTGCTACTTTACCGTGGAGGCCACCAGTATTCTTTGCTCAGTGAAGATGCCTCTAAGGATTTAGATGCCCAAATTGCAGGATAGAATTATTATATTTCACTGTGTCAGGCTAGGCTAGATAATCATAACAGCATTGTCTGATCTGAAAGTCTCTGAAGCAGCTCCTGCCTAGCCTCAGTTAGTATTTGACTCAGCAGTTCGTTTTTGGTCCCAGACTTGTACAAGCATCATTTCCTTTTAACTTCTTGGCTTAATTCTTGGAGATGGGTGGAGAGCTTTTGGCTTCTTTGCCATTGTTTGGGCATGTTAAATTTGATAAAGATCATTTCTGCTGGGCAAGCTATCAATACCTCGTGTTAAATCTTGAGACTATTGAGCAACTTTTCTAGTAACCCTGAGATTCAGTCAATTAAAAGACTATACATAAAACCCTCAATTGCACATACAAAGGGGAACATTTCTTTGATGAAAGCCAAGAATTTAGATCAAAACACGGTTTATTTTCCTAATGTTGACAGAGAAAGGGAAAAAGAAAGGTTGTTTTATTAACACCAGAAATTAATTTCTTGATCTTAAAAGACTGGATTTTTGCAAGGGAGAGGATCTGTGCTGTAATGACAAAGTCAGAGAATTTGGTTTTGGTTTTTTTCCTTTTGTGCAGAAGCACTTCATAGGTAGAGCAAAACAACAGCAAATTAATGTAAAAGTTGCCTGCTACAATATATAGTCATTCAAATGTAGCCGCTCCAGATCTTAAGAATGCTGTAATGACAAAGTCAGAGAATTTGGTTTTGGTTTTTTTCCTTTCTTTATTTCAGCCATGTAATTCTTAATGTAAGCAGACTTTAGGACACCAAATAGGAAAGAAAAAAACAAATTAGGCATTAATAAGGTATTTACCTTGATGTTTGTGACATTTTGCATGCTTGAGGGATTAGTAAACACACAGGGCTATTTTACTTTGAGGTAATCTAGAGGGGATCCATTACTTAATCTGTTTTGTAAAGCAAGTCTATTTTGGGCACTGAGTTTCAATTCACTTATAGTGGTGGTAAGCATAAGCTGTCTTTTATTAGGCATCTTTATGACCTCTGCTGTGAAAGATTTTCAGACAGGCCAGAACAGGGAGGGTCCCTTTTGCTGGTGGATAATTACAACACCTGTCAGAGCCCAGCCTTAAGTATTCAAGGAAGTCCTAGAGCTAGGGTCTGATTTCTTTAATAGTGCCTCCAAATATACATTTAAGAGACTTCCTCCTGTCTTGAAATTTAAGACCCTAAATAGCCAGTGGAAAAAGACAAAGTCTTTGTAACCTCAAGCTTCATGCTTGCCTAGTTTATTTTTATATTGTAAGTGATTCTGTGTTGCCTTTTTTGTTCCAAGCCTATAACTTTTCAGACATATATATAGTTGATGACAGCTGTGCTGCTGTGTCTTGGTAGTCATTTTTCAAGGAAGAGTTAAAAACATATATGATATAAGGAAGTCCTATTCCTATTCCAACTTCAGTTTTGGCCAACAGATGGTGAAACAAACATGAGCAGCAGATGAGCGAGATAGTAACAGCAGGGAAAATATGAATAATAGAAGAAAACACAAATATTAAATCTATTACTCTGAGAGGACCTAATTCAGCAAAATATTCAAGCATGAGCTTTATTGACTTGCCACACACTTGCTGGATTAACCTTAAACAGACATCATCTGTTTTATGTCCTTCACATAAAATGCATCTATTGGCAGAAAATGCTGTCATTAACTTCTTACAATTCTGAGAAAGCTGTTGCATAAAATTGGTAATGTGATTGTCAGAAAAGATATCTAGGTACCAATAGAGTCCTGCCTGGCTGTCTATACTGTTTATTTGTTTTGAGAATGCCAGAGCAGCCTCCATGCCAACCAGTTGCTCCATAGTTTGCCCAGAATTTACATTAGACGATTTTATAGCCAGGTAAGCTAAATATGTAGAAGTGGTCAGAATCAGCTGATGTCCTAGAGAATTTCTGAGTTCAGGGTGGAGTGTTGGCTCTGTTAAATTTATGCATATTTTTGCCACAGACTTAGTCTCAGTTAAGCTTTAGCCCCTATACACACATGCTTACTTGTGCATGTATCTATGTACACAACTATATGAATAATACATTTTTGCAATGGTATTGAGAAGACTTTTTAAAGCAGATGTCTGATTATATAAATATAAATTATAAATATAGTCAGACATCTGTTTAAAAAATTATAAATACATTCAGGCATCTGTTTTAAGAATGTCTTTCCAATATTTTTGCAAACCTAACTAAGCGACAGAAACAATTCAGGGTGGGATACAGTCGTGACATGGATGGGGGATGAGGAGGGGCTGTCCAGACATTCAGCTGTTCTGCTCTCCTGTGACCATATGAAGAGAGTGGTGGCCCTAAAGCCCCTTCTCCAACCTCCTCAGAATAATATGACAGTGTCTTATGCAACTAGTCCAGGTTGCCAAAATAAGACCCTGACGCAGATAGCACCTTCTGTGAGGGCACTGTGAATAGCAGTAAACATCTCTGCTACATTACGTCTGTTTGGATTGTACTTTACATGGAGGAAGTCCAGCAACGAGATGTTCAGCTGAGCAAGGGGATGCAGTGAGTCTGTGAGCTAGGACCTCAGGGTGTATCTGTTGATGCTGAGATTTGTGTTGCAGCCATGTGCACCTGTTATAATGTCTTGTATCAGCAAGTGGTGGCTCTGCTAATGGTTTCCCTACTTCTTTGCAGATGTATTGTGAGAGGTTTATATGTATCCTGAGAATACTTGGAACCACACTCTTCGGGGTGTCCCTCCTGCTGGGAATCACCGCTGCTTACATTGTGGGCTACCAGTTCATCCAAACAGACAACTACTACTTCTCCTTTGGACTCTATGGTGCTATCCTGGCATCACATCTCATCATCCAAAGCCTGTTTGCCTACCTAGAGCACAGGAAAATGAGACGGTCGCTAGAGACTCCAATCAAACTGAACAAAACAGTTGCCCTTTGTATTGCTGCCTATCAAGAAGATCCTGACTACTTAAGAAAATGTTTACTTTCTGTAAAAAGATTGACCTACCCTGGAATTAAAGTTGTTATGGTCATTGATGGGAACTCAGAAGATGACGTTTACATGATGGACATTTTCACTGAAATCATGGGTAGGGACAGTTGTGCCACTTATATCTGGAGTAATAACTTCCATGACAAAGGTCCGGGTGAGACAGAGGAGTCCCACAGAGAGAGCATGCAACACGTATCTCAGCTGGTCCTGTCCAACAAAAGTGTTTGCATCATGCAGAAATGGGGTGGAAAAAGAGAAGTAATGTACACAGCATTCAAAGCACTGGGGAGAAGTGTGGATTATGTACAGGTAGGTATTAGAGCACCAGGTCAGTGCCAATTCAAACACACTTTGAAAGAAAGCAGCTTTTGTATATTTTGTGCAGCATGTTAGAGGCCATCCTAGTCCCTGATGAACACAGTGCTCCTTTCAGTCTGTTTGGAAACAGCTTGACCGTTAAAAGGGTATTTTGCTACCTTTTAAAATGGCCAGTCTATCTGTGACTGTTTAAAATCTGTGCACCAGCTGCTGGAGAAATCTGAAATCCTTCCCCTGCCTTCAGTACTGTCCCCTCATCCAAATGGTTTTACTTCAGACAAAGCCAGGGACCTCCTGAAAGCCCCATCTCTGCTCCTGTAGGTGAAGGTCTTGGGTAAGGCTTTATTTTGTGAGTTTGTTAGCGGCCCCATATACGAGCAGACAGATAGGTATTTGGTCTCACTAGGGAATATCTTGGAGAAGTGGAGAAGTCTGTAAAAAAGTTGAGGATATATTTTAAAGGCTTTGAAGGCTATGTGGAGTATTCAATAAAAGGGTCAATGTGTAGATTTGAAAGAAAATTTCTTCAGCTAAATCCTGAAAGAGCTTTTGCTTCATCACTTACAGCTGCATTACCTCATTCACTGCAACTTGGCCTTTAAGGCCCTTATGACACACTACTCACTTAAAAATGAATTAGGCTGGGTCCTCTCTCCCTGTTTCCAAAGCAGCAGAGGCACATTTTTTCCAGCTGCCTTGGATCCCCTGAAAGATTCTCTATGTTTTTGCCTTACTTACATGGAAGCATTCCTTGCTTCTGCAAACAGCCCTTCTGACTGTGGGAAAGGGAAGGGGAGGTGGGTGGGATCAGATACTCTGGCTGGACACTGAAGACCCTTCCTTAGAAATCTAGGCCAAGAAGGCTCATTTGACTAGTCCCACTTAACAGGAGATGATTTTCCTAATGAACCACCCTCAGTTTTTCCCAGCTTCTCCCACTCTCAGAGCAGCCAGCAGTCTCCTGCAGTGGAGCAGCAGCTCCCCGCGAGGTGCTCTCTGCTGGCTCAGGGCAGCTGCATGGCTGAGCCACATGTGTTTCTGGGGCCCGTGCCCAGCCTTGTGTGGGTGTGTGTGCATGCTCTGCACAGCACAGCATCCACGTGCAGTGTCCTAGGGACCTGGAGAGGCTGCCAGTAGCTGGGCTGAGAGCAGCAAGCCTTCCTTCAGTGTACAGGAGGGGCAGAAACGGAAGAGTGCCAGGAACCACTCTGTTATTGGAGCTAGGAGAGTAAAGCCAAGATTTAAAACCTATCCTCTGCCACTTCCCAAACTGAAACTGATTTATTCTTTCAAAACAATGGGCTTAAGCTCCCCATTGTCTGCGCTTTGGTTTTGTGCTGTGAGGAACTATGATGGGATAAAAATGCTGATTTTCTTTATTAGCATGGGTTTATAATCACACAGACATACCAGACTGCAGGGAGAGAAGACAGAAAGGAAGCAGATTCATTGCAAGTTTCCTCCCTCAGTTCAGTTCTTGTATTTTTCAGGGAACCTGGAAAAAGTGTTTCTATTTTAACAGTCATAGCATAAATTCAGAAACTAGAAGGGGTACTTCTGTTTAGTTAACACTCCAGACCTGGCTCAGAAGTTCTAATGAATTTGTCAGAGACTATAGTGCTGCTGTGAGCACAGTCTGCAGTAGAGAGTGATGCCATAGTCACATCTGTAGTCACATCTGAAGTAGAAATTCAGCCCCTTGGTGGCCCTGGCTGCAGAGTCATAAAAAATATGCAGCTAAAATGAGTCTCTGTTTTATGATTGAATAAAGGTTGAGATATCTCAAGTGTTCCTTTGGGGAGACCCAGGGTAAAATTACTTTAAACAAGCCAAATATTTCAAGGGCTAAGCAGTCTGCATCAGTGATGAAGCACTTTTAAAAGTGGCCAGTCAGCACCACTGCCCAGCCTCAAAATTGTAGGCCTTACAGTTCTTAGAAAACACCCTGGAATTATGAACAGGCAATCCTAAACAGTCAGACCAGTGCAGATAACAAGCTGTTACTCAGTAGTGGTGTCTCATTAAGTACTGAAAACTACTGTGTAGGCTTGTGTCCATCCTGGAAGAGCTCCTGAGTGTGCAAGTAATCAGGTAGAGGAGTTAAACTGGCAGGTATTATCAGTGCAGAGTTATGAGGTAACCAGGGTGCAATTCATCTTGACTTGATGGAGATGCCTGTGTGGACAGTCCAGTGCAGCTCAGGGCAGCTTGGATAAAGTGTCACTGCCTATAGCAAGTAAAAGAACAGCTCCCTTAAGGTCAGTGTCCCCTTCATGTAACTGTGACCCAAAGCAGTGATGTTTGGGTCACTTGGCCCTTATGTGGAAAGATGGCAAATTTTCTCTTGGGCTGTCCTGGGCACACCCTGGCTAGGCAGGTGTCAGTGTTTATTTGGGCTTCTAAGTGTCCGTGTTTCTCTGGGTGTGTCCTCTGTTCACCTGCAAAAACCTCATCCAGATGGAAAATAATGCTTAGATTTGTCCCAGAAACCCAGACATATCTACCTGTGCTGGCATGCCCAGGGCATGTGATGGTGTTTTGTTAAAAAAATCCAGTGTTTTCAGGACATATTAGGGATGTAGCTCATGGGCAGGCCTTTCTACCATAGGTAAATACATCTGATGGGGTGGGAGCTGCTCAAGTGACAGGTGCTGGAGGGAAAGCAGAGGGGCTGGTAGGCAGCTGATCCCAGCCCACCACTCATGGTCAAAAGAAATGACATGCCTGTCACTGCCTTAGCACCCGGGGAATTCAGCAAACTACAGATTTCCTGTGCAAAACACTCAGCAACAGGTTTGTCCAGGAAGACCCAGGTAAAAGTATAGGCACTGTTTTCCCTCTTCAGTAGAATTGTTTTTCTCCCTTTCTATCACCCAGTGCTGCCACTGAAGACAGCTTTCCACTAAAGCTGGAGTCAGACCCTGGCCAGGTTACAAAGATGCTGTGGGATGAGGCCATTGAGGATGGATGCATCAAGTTAGTGGGAGCTGGAGATGCTCGTGGCTTTTCTCCTGATGGAGATATGAGAGCTTTCATCACCTTTCTCCTCTTGGCCCCCTCTGAGCAAGCACAGAGGGGAGCTGTTGGCAGAGTCCTAGCTGCATCCAGCTATGCAGTCTAGCTATCCTGGGTAACCTCTCCTCTTGCATCTGGTCCAGAGCAGAGCCCCAGGGCTCTCCTCCCACTTCATAGAGCAGATATAAAGGTTACCTCTCACCTGGAGTGAGAAGGCTTAAGTTGAATTAAAAGTTTGCATGAAAGGACACCAAAATTAAGATACCCATTACAAAGCCCCAGCAGAATCTGTCTTAATGTGCTGTTTATGCAGAGCTACTGACTTGCTCCCACTGACCCTGTCTGAAGTCAGAGGAATGCAATGTAGGGACAAACTGGAGGCAGTATGAGAATTTGTAGGGTGGGATTCAGCCAGTTAGAGAGGTGTTTCTGGGCCAGTCTCTGCTCCAGTTCCTGGGTGTCTGTGAAATGAGTTCACACACGATGTGGCCAGTTCTTTCAGCTGCAGCAACTGCAACAAGGAGACACCCTCTTGTTTTAAACAGGCTGCAGCCCAAGTCATTCTCCTCAGAGCGAATGAAAGCAATGCCAGCTGTCTCACAGACCAGCCAGCCTGTCTGAGCCCTCCTCCTACTCTCCAGGGGAAAGCCAATTTCCTAATGTACACAGTGTTTAGTTGACTAGGAGTGTTTGTGTAGCTGAAATGCCTTGTGTGTCATTTACTTCTGCCTTGCTCTTTTGGAGTACTGAACTTCGGGACTCACGCCTTCTGGCCTTACATATTTTTTTATAGGAATGCCAGAGAAAAATAGCAAATAATTTCTCTACATCAAATGTCAAATCCCTGCACTACTAATAACACATCATGCATCTAAAATTAAAAATGAGTTTGTTCTGAAATACAAGATACATATTTTACATGAATTGCTAAACTCTTCTGTGAGTGAAAGAATGATTAGGTTTCTTCCCAGACTCCTACTTGACTTTTTTTCTTTTTAATAACAAGTGTCTGGGATTTAGCTCCTCACTCTTTCCCTCATGTGGCAGTGGGAAACATTTGATCGGGGTGCTCCAACCGTGCAGCTGATGCAGGGAAATTTTATGTCAGAGCACAACAGGAACCTGCTGCACACCCACAAACACCGTCTTATTCTGTAGTGCCCCATATCTTATTCAAAGAAGCCAGCCCAGTGTGCCAGTAAAACAAATGGAGCTGATACAGAGGATTGTTTGTGTGCACAGCCTTAACAAGCTCTGTGTTTTGTGCAGTACTATGCCTTGCTGCCTGGTACAAGTGACCTTTAACAGAAATATCAGTGCAAACTTCAAAGTAAATTTAATTGCATTCAGGAGAATATGCATTTAGAGTCACTATAATCACTTGCATGATTTTTATTTTCTTTTGTAGTGTACTCCTTAACCGATTTTTGTTCTTGTTTTTTCTTACTTGTAGGTCTGTGATTCAGATACAATGCTTGATCCAGCCTCATCAGTGGAGATGGTAAAAGTTTTAGAAGAAGATCCAATGGTGGGAGGAGTTGGAGGTGATGTGCAGGTGAGTACAACATTTTCAGATTAACAGAGGTGTTTCATTAACTATTTGCATTGCAGCAGATTTCTCAGCCTGAAATAGCATTAAATATAATTTATGTGTATATACTATATGCATATATATAATATGAGATGCCATTATAGATGCTCTTATCATACCTTAACCTTTTTGTCCATTGAATGGAAACTCTTCTTAGATGTGAGCACTGTATGGTTTTAACTTCCATAGCAAGCAAACAAATAATATTCTGCCCCCTATATGTGAAAAGGGGGGCACTGGCATTGTCAGGATTGTTGTGGCATCTTTGAGTCTCTGGGTATAGCTGCTTGTTCAAGGTGCCAAAGAAGAGCTATAGGGGAGCAGGAAATTGAGAACAGGTCTCCCAAAGCCATGTCCAGCAACCTCAATCACTTCAATTTTATTACTACTGGCAGCCAAGATTGTTAGAAATGAAAAGGAATTTTGAAATGCTGTGCACTCTGTGTATTGCTGGCCTTCCCATCTCTGTCAGGCAGGGCAATAGAAAACTTCCAAGTCAGACCAGTTCCATGTATGTTAGGATTTTCAGAATTACAGAGTTTGGCTGATTACTACAGCAAAAAGCTCTTGCTACCTTTTGACACAACTCCTTCTGCTGCAATTTATAGAGAAAATGTGTATGAATATTTGAGTTAGCCTTATGATCCATCCCCCATACTCAGTTGGGCTTTTTATGGGAGATAGAGGAGAAAGAGCTATGTAAATGAGCAAGAATTAGCTAATGAATGCCGAAGTAGTCAGAAGTATTTCAGGCATGTGGCTTTTAACTACAGAAATTAGGATTCCCACAGAAACCTGAATAGCTTTGGAGCTCCAGACTGACCACAAACCAGGTGACACAGCCTATGCATGTGAAATTCCAGGCATGTGTGAGTACAAGTGAAGGGAGGCAGAACAGGTTCAGCTGTGACAGTGAAGGTTCATAAGCATCTGCATTGGGAAGGATGTGTGTCCTCTGTGAGGAAAGGTGACAGAATGAAGGCTTTGGGCTTTTTTTTTCCCCGGTTCATTTTCTAGCATACACCAAACACATTTGAGCCAGGCTTGAGCCTATCCCTAAGCCCTGCTGCTTCTAATATGTTCTGGAATTAAAACTGACAGAAATTAGGACCATCAGAGCAAAAGGCTACTTTTTTCTAGTCACGGGGCAATGCTTTATAGTTGTAGAAGGCCAAAGATTGACACACTTCCTTGTCACATCCTCTGGCACAAGATGTGTGTTGAGAACCTGGATGTGAATCCACATATTTGTGCATCTGCATCTGCTGAGTGTTCAGACTGGATGTGCAGTAGGGTTGTGCAGAAGAGAAAGACTGAGACATTTATGTGGGCCTGAGGAAAGCTCTACTGGAGTATCACCATATGTCTTGGACAAGGTAACAGGATGGTACTGCCAGAACAGGTTGCTCCTCAGAGGAATGCTACATATGGGGACACAGTTCAGAGTTAAACCTCTAAGGCCAGACTTGTGATACCAAAATGTAGGGCAAAGACCACGTGCTCTGTTTTTCTCATGCTCCAGCATAGTTTTGGGAGGGCTGGCAGGAGTCTTGTAAGCCCCAAAGATGTGTAAGGGCAGGAAAGCAGCAGGAGGCCATGAACTCACCGCCTCCTCTTGGTAAAATCTAAATCCAAAAGGAATTTGGAATTTGGGGGCAAAAAGGAAGGAAAAATGAGACAGAAAATAAGGGAATTTCATGGTGGAGAATAGGAAAGGTTGCAAGGAATAAAAGAACCTCTCAGTGAAACAGAGAGAAGGTTTCATCTCACCCTTCCTGTCAATGTCTGGGCTGAAATGTTTGCATAGGACCTGGGTTTGCCTTGAGCTGAACACAGGAGTGAGGCTCCCACCACATTTCATCTAATGGTGCTCTAGTCTCAGTAAATTCCTTATTGATCCAATGTGCACATTTTCTGGTTTAAGAGCTCATCTAAAAGGAAATGGTTTTTTTTTTCAGATTTTGAACAAATATGATTCCTGGATCTCCTTTCTGAGCAGTGTGAGATACTGGATGGCATTTAACATCGAAAGAGCCTGTCAATCCTACTTTGGCTGTGTACAGTGCATCAGTGGACCTCTGGGAATGTACAGAAACTCTTTACTCCATGAATTTGTGGAAGATTGGTACAATCAAGAGTTTATGGGCTCCCAGTGCAGCTTCGGAGATGACAGGCATCTAACTAACAGAGTGCTAAGTCTGGGCTATGCAACAAAATACACAGCTAGATCCAAGTGCCTTACGGAAACACCGATAGAGTATCTCAGGTGGCTGAATCAGCAGACCCGCTGGAGTAAATCCTACTTTAGAGAGTGGCTTTATAATGCCATGTGGTTCCACAAGCACCATTTGTGGATGACCTACGAAGCAGTAATCACTGGATTCTTTCCTTTCTTCCTTATTGCCACGGTCATTCAGCTCTTCTACAGGGGAAAAATCTGGAACATTCTCCTCTTCCTGTTGACAGTTCAGTTAGTTGGCCTGATAAAGTCTTCCTTTGCCAGCTTCCTTAGAGGCAACATTGTCATGGTTTTCATGTCACTCTACTCAGTGTTGTACATGTCAAGTTTACTGCCAGCAAAGATGTTTGCAATTGCCACGATAAACAAAGCAGGGTGGGGCACGTCAGGAAGGAAAACCATTGTAGTTAATTTTATAGGACTCATTCCAGTCTCCATTTGGTTTACAATCCTCCTAGGTGGCGTAATTTTCACTATTTACAAGGAATCAAAAAAGCCATTTTCTGAGTCAAAACAGACAGTTCTCATCATTGGCACAATACTCTATGCATGTTACTGGGTTTTGCTTTTGACTTTGTACATGGTTCTAATCAACAAATGTGGCAGGCGGAAGAAAGAGCAACAACACTACGACATGGTGCTAGACGTATGATGTTTCCGTGGGAAGTTACCCAGAGTTGTAAAGCGACCCAACGACCTTGTAGTATCTGTGGCATCAGACATATGTTGCCAAGGGAAATGGATCACTGCTGCTGGGAATAGGACACTTATATTCCTCTGGGTTCATTTTCATCCTGCCAAAGTAAGGAAAAGAAAAAGAAAAAAAAAGGAAAAAAAAAAAGATTTTTTTCATTTTCAAGGGGGGAAGGCCGCAAACCACACAGTTACGACCTGTTCACAAGAAAAGGGGAGAACTTCTGTGTTTATGCACTTTTTTCTAATGTGCATATGCCTGACAGTGTTACGTTCTATATACCTCACTGGTCATGCTTATGTGTGTGGACAAAAAGAAAGGGAGTTTGGAGAATCAAGAAAAGGACTGTACAACCCCTTGCAACCTAATTTATAAACTTCTCTTTTTTATAGTTCTGTTTATAGGAAGGGTCTTTTGTTTTAGGCTGCCAAATGTAATGCCAAAGGTAAATTTTAAGAGGCCGTTGGCTGAGCTGTATTTTTATATTATTGTATTATTTGTGTGTGTGTATTTTTAAGCCAACTTTTTTTTAAATCACATATTTTATATTTTACTATCTGCCAAAAAAAGCTGCCTCCCCAACATTTTGTTCTTTAGCCTTTTGAAATATATTTGGGGACAAAAAAAAATACATTCTCCCCCCAAATTTCTGCTGAAATGATATTGTTCAAACAGAAAGAATAAAAAGTCTCTCTGCATTTTTGCAACTAATGAATGGTTATTTCTGTGAAAAAGCATTTAAATGTGCTCTTTTAAGACATTTGTTAGGAAAGGCCCAAAATGTTCAGTTTTGCATACAAACAAAGTTGTGCATAAAAAAAGGCCAAAGGGGTAGATACGTGCAATTTGGGGTTTTTGTTTTGATAACATTGTACAAGGGAAATCTACTTCTCTGCTGAGAACCTAATATCCCTGGCATGCACAATAAATCATAAAGCAAGGCAGGCCTCCACACCACTGGAAAAGACATTGTTATGGAAAGCATCCCATTGATTTTATATGGGACCTAAGCAGTCAAAAACTTCTGACTTGGAAAATCTTGGGCACATGAAATTGATATTGAATTCACTGATGGTCCTAGTTGTTCATAATCTGCTAGTACCAAGCAAATAGTTCAGGTTTCTATTAAAATTTTTTAAAAATGGAAGAAAAAAACTTATCAACATTTTCAAAATGTGTGTGTTGTACTATAAAACTTCCGCAGAGTCCTTCGTACAGTTTACAGAAAATAAACACATACCTTTTCTGACATTCAGTGTAATACAGACCCCAGTACTGAGGCCAGTAATTTGGTTTTGGCTATAGCATATCTACCAGAAAAAAAGTCAATTTTTTTATCAGAAAACATCAAGCCTTAGCAAATGCATCACTTCCTTGGTGCCTAATAATCAGTCTTAGACATTTGTTTTGGACCATAGTTTTGAGAAATAATATTCAGGACTAAATTCTGCAGTCCTTCACCAGCCAAAGGAATGTGGCATTAAGCCCTAATATACTTTATGAAGAGCAACAGAAAGACCAGCAGCCCTTTTTAGATTCTGGTATTTAAAGCACTGTGGTAAAGCAGAAATCAGCATATGATGCTTAAAGAACTTAGAAGCATTTTCAGCTTCTCTTTTTTTATGCAGACATGAATAGATTCTGCTGTAGAATGAACTGCACACACACTACCTTATTGTCTGATTATCTTGAGGTACATGATTGCTTGAAAGTCATACTAATATTATGTTAATGATTGGAGAGTTGATTCATGTTGATTACAAAATAGAACAGTATTAAAAAAAAAGCAAGAGGAACAGTAAAAATCAAAAAAACTTGACTATGCCTTTTAACTATTTATGATGTAAGTTAAAGCTTGGGTTAACATTCAAATGTCAAATAAATCTTCTCATTCTATAAAAAGATTGAATTAATTGCCTGTATTTATTCTAGCAATTATTCAATGTATTTCCAATATAGGTTGTATAGTATAATTGTTACTTTCATAAATAAAATATTTTTGATAAGATTGTGACTAATTAATGGTATTTCTCACCAGCACTTTTACTTTGAAGCCATAAATCTGTACAGTTTGAAGGCTGTGGTTCTGATGTCACCAGCCTGATTTCCAAGTGGGAATTTGCCATGGAGCACCTGTGGAGCGCAGTGCGTGCCTGAGGTGGCTGGAGATGGTCCCTGCTCTGAGAGGCAGCACAGGGCATAGGCAGCACTCAGGGTCTCTGCCAGCAGCTGCTAGATCAATTCAGTCAAAACACTTCCTTCCCTTTTTCCTCAGCTTCCTGATTTACAAAACAGGAATAGCAATCCAGCTTCCTTTTGGGAAGCACTTTGAAGTTTATGGCCAAAGTAGTTTGGTACATTACATAGGAGCTGATGTTTTCCAGCCCTCCTGTCCACTGGAAATTACCACCCTCCATAGCTTGGGAAGCAGAGGACAGGTCTATGGCTTTTTCCTGCTCATCATTAGTGCTGTTTGTCAAGCCCCCTTTGCCCTGGTACAGCTGAAGTGCAGCTGTATATTTTGTCACTGAAGGTTATGGGCAGCAGCCACTGCTGCAGGGACACAGGGGGCAAAGTGAAATCTCACACAGGCTTGGCACAGGTCAGTGACTTAGGAGACAGATGTCTCAGCCCTCGGTGCTTGCTGCCCTATGTCTGTACTTGACCAGTACCGAGCTCCCCAGGACAGGGACACCATTGATATACTGCAGTGAGTTCAGTCCAGGTTGGTTTGGGCTGGAGTGGTGTCTGAGACACCTGGGCTGGTTGGGCTGGACAAGGGACAGCTTTGGCAGGAGAACCCTGAGGTCACATCCAATACCTATAGGGAGGTGTTCAAGAAAATGGTTCCAGGCTCTTCACAGTGCTGCTTGGTTTGACAACAAAAGACTCCAGGTTGAAAGGGGAGAGGTTCAAGGTTCAGGGTTTGGCCTGGATATGAACAGGGACTTCTTCCCCATGAAAACATCTAAGCAGGTTGTGCATCCTCCAGGACAGTGCATGCTCCCTCCATCCTGAGGGAGTTTCAAGACTAAACTAGGTAGAGTTCTGAGATGCCTGGTCTGACCTTGGAGCTGCCCCTACTTTTAAGCAAGGGGTTGGGGCAGAGATATGAACTCTCCTGTCATCCTTTCTGAAGCAGATGCTGACAGCTCCCACCAGCACAGAGGCTCATTTCATCTCTGTTCCAGACACATCCATCCTGACCCCAGGCACAAATAGCTCAGCAGCAGCTGGTACTGAGTACCCAAAAAATCAGAGCCTTTCTGGTGACTGGGTCACTCTCCTCAACGTGTTTGTGGCCATTTAGAAGAAGGTTTCAGCAGAAAAATAGAGCATGAAACACTTAGTGTTCAAAGTGTTCTCAAACTAATTAAAACTTTTAATAACATTTCCTGGTTTTCATTAATAGAAAATATATTTTTGAGATCTCTATCAAAAGAAGAAAACATGTTAAAAGAAATAGTCATAGTCTGTTTTGAACATTTTTAAAAACACAGATTTTTTTTAGTCACCTCTGATAGACAGATGGTGCTAAAAAGTCCCACAAATTATGAATTCTACATAAAAGTTAAAAAAAAAAGCATTTCAAAAAATGCCATGAATTGGCAATATCTCAAGTTATAAATCATTTCCATAGTAGACTAATTTGGGTTTGAGAGCATCTGTTTGCAGAGACCAGGTGTGATGCAAAACCTCCAATAATCAGAGGTGCAGCAGGGAGGAAGGACCCCTCCTTTTCTGCCTGCTAATAAGCTTCATTTTGGCCAAGAATCAGGTTTCTTTCAATGGGAAATGCATGAATATTTAGCAGAACTTTTCTAGGAGGCAGAAAAATTCCTGTCAGACACACACTGCCAAACATGTCCTGATGTACAAGCTGTTGTGAATCTGTCTATTAAAAAATTTGTACTGAATTTTTTTCTTAGCAAGAGTTAAGATGGTAAAGAGGAGACAAAACTACTTAAAGTTGTTGATGAGATTTGGTATTACTGAGGCTTTGTTGCAAATGCCACTCTTCTCTCGATTTAATACAATTATTTTAAATAAAGTACATTTTCTCCCAACTTTTATTCAGCCTAAATTTGCTGCTTAAGCTTAGTTTTGGATGGATGGATGGATGGATGGATGGATGGATGGATGGATGGATGGATGGATGGATGGATGGATGTGTGCCACAAATTGTTCTTGCTTCTTCCAGCTATGGAAGAAGCATGTTATACATATTAGAATAAATATTATACTTTCTATAATTGCATTGGACAAATAAATGCAACTTATTCTCCTAAAATAGCACTAAGATTTCTATAAGTTACCAAACTGCCTAGAGGAAAATAACCTTGTACTTACATTGTCACTAAATAAAGGAGAGATCCAGGTCATATTTCTGAGCTTTGGTATATGATGATACTCTATTGTTCAAGTGTAAATACAGCCTGTGGCATGTTTTTGTTATAGGCCAGAGAGTCCTGAGCCAGAAAATGCTGGACACAGGTGGCATTGATATGTGGAGCAGGAACTAGCCTGGTATGGGAAACTGTAGAATTTAGATGTGATCCCTGTCATCAGATGATGACCAGATTGAAAAGAGTCCTGGATTTTTTTTTTTTTTTTTTTTTTAACTAGATTAAATACAAGCTATCACTACTCACAAGAAGCAAAAGGCAAGTCAGCTCACACATTTACCTGACATCATGTGGGATCTTATTCCCTCAAGAGATCCTTAGATGCCATTCAGTTCTGCAGTTTTCACACCTTTCTTTTTTCCTAAGTTTTCCTAAGGACATTTTCTAAGTCCTTTGGTCATGTGCAGGAAGTAAGAAAAAACTTACTTGGGTCTAGGACCCATTGGATTAATGCTTCCATTGCTTCTCTTACAGCATCCCTGCTGGGCTGTCTTTTAGTACTTCTGTTTGTTCCAGCTGGACACACTCCGTAGAAATTATATGGTTATAATAAGACCTTCTTTTGGGTACTTCTCACAAATATCAGTGAGAACAGGAAGCATTAAGAGCTTGCTCATGATCAGTGCTGCTTTGTATAACCCAAGGAAGTAAAGTCTGGAATCTGACATTATCAGACACATTATTAGAAACTACAAAACCCACAGAAAGAGCATGTGAAAGAGTGACAGCTAGCAAATGAATCACAGGAAATTATATCTTGTAAGTTTCTCTGCCCATATTATTATTTATTTCATAGTCTTTGTGAGTAAAAGTAGCACTTCTTTCTATGTCTTGATCCTACAGCACTTTAGGAGGTACTGCTACATGGAACACTAAGTCATGAAGAACTGAGATGAATGTGGCTAAAAACAGACCAAGTGGGCAGCTTACTCTAAATTAATTAGGAGATTGCAGCCTATATCTGCTCCCCAAAATTGTTCTTAAGTTTTACGTACTGATTCTTTCTAATGAATGTAGCTGAACCCATCCAGTGAGTTGATGCTGCAGATACCAGTGAATTCTGTCTGTGACCAGTCTTCACTGCCTTCCTAAGAGCTGGTCCTGACCTGGATTCTGCCACCATCTATAATACCTGGATAATAATGACAGCACTGTGAGATGTATTACGAGATAGCTCAGCATCGAAAGAGAAAGTCTATGAAGACTGTAGAAGAGGGCTCATCCTTCAGGAAAGGAAACATTTGATAACAGAGATATAAAAGAAGCACCACACAGAACACAAGATGCTTATTTCATGCTTATTCCTTAGAGAAATAGATCTTTTTGCCTACAAATGCCTGTTGCTGTTCACTGCCTGTGGAGGGAGGCTCAATGGCCAGCTCAGCTCATGGTTCATAGTTTAATTCAGGTTGGAGTGGTCTCAGGAGATCATCTAGTCCAACATTTTGCTCAAAGTAGGAACAGCTCTGAAACTAAAGCAACCCAACAGAAGAGTTTATCCCACAGCCTTTCCCTAAATGCTGACTTTTGGAGATGCTCAGATTTGGTCAAATGTGTAAAAACATGCACTCTGAAAGCCTTGTCTACACAAGAAAATGTGATGTAACCAAAATCTTTGTGATTTCAGTTATTGTAGTCTAAGTGTTATTGTATTTGGTTTGATTTGATTTATGTTTCTTGGGAAATTATGGTCACAACTGTAAAAGATCATACAAAGAAAAATTTA